ATTCAGAGATGACACCACGCTTCAGGGGACAGCTCCAGTCAGAACCACCAGTGCCAGGAACTATCTCACACTAGGAGATCCTGCACTGAACCCAGGTGAACCAAGAAAGTTGCCACCTACTGAGCAAAGATCAGAGGGAACTAAGGGAATTTACCAACAATAACCTGTTCCTGACCACCATGAACCCTGCTCTTCCATTGGCCAAACTCCCTTAAGGCAAACTTGCCTAAATCATGCACGACCCACCTGCTAAGTGCTTGTGCAGGCACCATTCACTGGCTTCCAGGCATTTAAAACTGGATAAAGTGACTACAAACCTCAGCAGCCATTCCACCACCACACACAGAGACTATTTTTCCCATCAGGAACCTGCAGGAATTCCCTCGCTCACTCATTTACAGGGTCTGCTAGCAAGCCCCACTGTCAAGCTCAGAGTTTTACAATCCTTATAGCACCTTCCACTTATAGATTCAAAAGAATAAGGATCTTCTGACAGAGGTTGTTCCCTTTAACACTGTGACACACTCTGACCACTGGCTTATGCCTTCTTATTGAGAAACAGTCCATAATTTCATGCACACTCTGTATTATTTCTAGTGTATAACAGGGAGTGTTATTCAGTGTATTTCCCATCTCTCCTGAGCCCAGGTCGCTCTGAATCGCTCAGACTGCTGAATGGAGAGAGTCGGTGTGATGGGAGAGTTGAGATTTCCCTCCGTGGTGTGTGGAGCAGAGTGCTGGATGACCAGTGGGACATGGACGATGCCAGTGTGGTGTGCAGGGAGCTCCAGTGCGGAGTCGCTGAGAAAGCTTATAACCCCCCTAAGTCTGAGCGAGGAACGGGCCCTGTGGGGCTGAGAAGTGTCCAGTGTGCAGGAAACGAGACTAATCTGACGCTCTGCATCATCTCCACATCTGAGGCAGAGCAGGCAGGAATTGCTGAGGATGTTGGTGTCGTTTGCTCAGGTGACGTACTATGAAATCTTGCAAACATCCTGTCCTTGTTCAATGGGAACATGACCTGTCCTAGGGCCTGTAAACATCTCACCTTGTGCTGTGATCTCATCAGACCTTGAAAATATGTGGATCTGAGGGTCAAACTCTGTTGTAAAAATATAGTATTATGTGCAGAGAAAAGCACAGCCACAGGATAGGTTAATGCACTGCAGCAACCTCGCTGTCTGTCTGTCTGTCTGTCTTGTGTTTTTAATCAAAACTTTTCAGATGTAAAATAGTTTCCTTGTCGTGGAAATTTTCACAAACTTTTTTTTATTTTCATTGAACATTGTCAGGGTTACAGAGTTAGTTGCACCTTTCTCCCCTTTCTGGTGTCTCTATGTGCACCCACATGAGGCCTGGCCCACTTGCCCTGGCCTGTCTTGGGGTGGAATCTCAAGATTCTTCCTCCTCTAGGCCTGGCCTGGTTACACTACTCTGTGCAAACCAACCGCTCAGCACCCTGGAGGTCCGACTGGGTTTCAGGCACCAGCATTTCTTCCCCTGGGGAACTTGTGTCCCGTGACAGTGACCTACAGCATACTCAGAACAAAGCACTTTATTCAGCAGCTGGAACAATGCATTAGAGCAAAGGGGGTTTAAAAAAACAAACACCCCACATTTGTGTTGCAGCTCATCTAATCTATGCTTCCCTGCAAATTAAGTGAGCTGGGCTTCCCTGGGGAGTAACAGGAAAAGAACAGAATGAGCCTGTCTTCTTGTAAAAACCAAGGTGCTCATGAGACCCAGCTGGGGCTCAGTTTGTCTGCCCCACTCTGCTCCCCTTTCTCTGTGAAGTTGCTTTTTCTGGAAGTCCCCACCCTCCCTGTGTGTGTCTGGGCTCAATTACCATATTGGTCAGTGGTCTGTGTTACAGGGCCAAGTGAAGTCTTCCTTCTGCCTCAGACTAGTTTTCCTGGTTGGCCAGCCAGGCCATCTAGGAGAAGATCCCCATGATGATTGCTCCATTGTCCTGCAGTCAGCCCCATCCAGCTTTAATGGCCGGCAGCCACTGGTCTTGTGACCATATCCACCTGTGGGACAGAGCTGCCTGTTCCCTCTGACACCATGACACCATTTTAAAAGTCAGATGAGTAGGTCACACTTCAGGGTGCACAGCAGTAACCTCTACCCTGCCCCCACATTTGCCACAAAAACAATCAGATGGGTTTTGGGGTGTATTTTTTTTTTAAAGAATAATGGAAAATTCTGACAATGAAAAATATTGATATCTATCCTAACATTTGTTGGGCAGAAGAGATAATTTCCTGAGCATGTCAGTAAATACGTAAATACAGTTGCTTCTTACCTTAAAATCTTCAATAATGGGGCGTCCAGAATCAAAAAAGAAAAGAGGGGGAGGCAATGTGGCCTATTTCACAGAGCACTGGAACAGGACTCAGGAGACTTGGGATCTCCTCCCAGCTCTGCCACTGGCCTGCTGGTGACCTCCAGCAGGTCATTCACCTCTCTGTGCCTCAGTTTCCCCATCTGTAACATGGAGATAATGACACTGACCTTCCTTGTAGAGTGCTTTGAGATCTACCACTGAACTGTGCTATATCAGAATTAGATTCTATTATTCTTAACAGGAAAAGGAAGTCATACATAACCCTATTTCTCTTGGTGATTAAGTGAAACTTTTTGTTATAATGTGGTATTGTTATGTCCTAATCTTAATAGTACATCATTTTGCTTCACTGACAAGAAAAAGGAATTGAGGATTATATGTTAATATTTTTATTGCTACTGATTGTACATTACTATTGTAACAGATTGCTAAAGACACAAAAACTACCTCTAGAAATTGTTTTAAGTACATGAGAAGCAGGAAACCTGCAGTACAGACCATGGGGCCACTAAATAACAAAGGTGACAAATGTGTTAAAGGAACACTCAAGGAAGACAAGGCCATTTTAAGAAGCTGAAGGAATTCTTTGCATCAGCCTTCACTGCAGAATATGTGGGGGAGATCCCCACATCAGAGCTATCGTTTTGGGTGACAAATCTAAAGTACTGTCAAAACTGACATGTAATAAGACAATATTTTAGACAAATTGATAAACTAACCAGTAATAAGTCACCAGGACCAGATGGTATTCACCCAAGAGTCCTGAAGGAACTCAAATATGAAATTGCAGAACTACTAACTGTTGTATGTAACCTATCACTGAAATCACCTTCTGTATCAGATGACAGGAAGGTAGCTAATGTAAAGCTGCTTTTTTTAAAAGGGCTCTGGAGCAGATCCTGGCAATTACAGGCCGATGACCCTACCATCAGCACCAGGCAAACTGGTAGAAACTACAGTAAAGAACCAAATTATCAGACACAGAGATAAACATGATTTGATGGGGAAGGGTCAACAAGGCTTTGTAAAGGGAAGTCATGCCTCTCCAGTCTCTGAGGAAGTAAACAAGCATATGGATAAGGGTGATCCAGCTGATACAGTGTACTTGGGTTTTCAGAAAACCTTTGACAGGGTCCCTCACCAAGGCTCTTAGGGAAGTTAAGTAGCCTTGGGATACGGGGGAAGGTCCTCTCATGGATCAGTAACTGGTTGAAATATTGGAAACAAAGGGTAGGAATAAATGGTCACTTTTCACAATGGGGAGACATGAACAGCGGGTCCCCCCAAGGAGTTGTACTGGTACCTGTGCTGTTCAACATATTAATAAATGATCTGGAGAAGGGGGTGAACTCTAAAGTGTCGAAGTTTGTAGATGATCAGTCCAAAGCGGGCTACGAGGAGTTACAAAGGGATCTCGCAATACTGCGTGACTGGCCAACAAAATGGCAGGTGAAGTTCATTGTTGATAAGTGCAAACCAAAGCACATTGGAAAAAAATAATCCCAACTACACATATACGATGATGGCTTCTAAATTAGCCGTTACCACCAAAGAAAGAGATCTTGGCGTCACTGTGGATAATTCTTTGAAAACTGCTGAAAATTGAGAAATGATCAAAAAGGCTAATGGTATATTAGGAACTATTAGGAAAGGGATAGAAAATTAGACAGAAACTATCACAATGCATCTATATAAATCCATGGTCTGTCCATACCTTGAATACTATGTCCAGTTCTTGTTGCCCCATCCACAGAAATGATATAGTGGAACTGGAAAAGGTACTGAGAAGGGCAACAAGGATGTTGAAGGGTACAGAATGGCTTCTGTACAAGGAGAGACTAAAAAGATTAGGGCTGTTTAGCTTAGAAAAGAGACACATTGGGTGATATGATAGAGGTCTATAAAATAATGAATGGTGTGGAAAAAGTGAGTAGAGAAATGTTATTTACCCATTCACACAGTACAAAACCGAGGAATCACCTGATTACATTAATAGGCAGCAGGTTTAATACAAACAAGAGGAAGAACTTTTTCACACAACACACAGCTAACCTGTGGAACTCATTGCCATGGGATGTTGTGATGGACAAAAGTATAACTAGGTTCAAAACAGAACTGGATAAGTTCCTGGAGGATAGGTCCATCAATGGCTATTAGCTAAGATGGTCAGAGTACGGCTCTGGTACAGGCCACTTTTGCTGACAGAATTCTGGTCTGACCCAGGCTGGCAGCTCTTATGTTCTTATGGTTCTTTTCTGGGGAAGGTAAATAAACAATGGCTTTCTTCAAATAACAGATTTTTTAATAAACACCTGTATCATGCACTGTACTGTTATTGCACTGAAATCATTGTTCATGCCCGTTCCAGTTCCAGGGTAACTACGGCACAGTAAGGGCCCATTCCTGCTCCCATTAGGGCAGGGAGAGCTTTGCTATTGACTTCAGCAGCATTAGAATAGAGCCCTAAGTCTATTAGACTTTACCATAGGTACATGTATCCACCTGCCTTTCTTCCTTTATTTGGAAAATAAATGGGTCCCAAGTCTAATTTTCTCCAAGCCTCTGGAACCTCCCAAGTCTGTAACAATTTAAAAGAAAATTGGAATTTCTGATAAATTTGTTAGTTAATATGATATTTCTTGTGAATCCTTAGAAGACCTGTTTGAAAATGTTCAAGTTTTCCAAGTAGGAGCTGATTCTGCAAAGCTTTAGCTTCACTAGTAGTTCTTACTTTCAAGAGCTGTCCCATAAGGATGACTCAGACGACTAAAGGTTCAGGGTTAGGTCCTGTCCCTTTAAATGCTTTTTATCAGAAGTTTCTTCAGAAAGTCTTCAGCATTTCCTAATTCTACTGACTTCTTCTCTTTATGTTTCTTGTTAAAGACACACATTTTTCAGTATCTCAGCCATTGTAGCATCATCATTGATTTGCATGGAAGCTGTTTAGTTATCATTATATTGCACATTAACAGCTGGGATCTATCCCTGCAGGGAGCAGGTGGATCAGACTGGTGAATGGGGCAGGTCGCTGTGCCGGGAGAGTGGAGATTTATTACAATGGCAGCTGGGGGACAGTCTGTGATGATTCCTGGGACCTGCCAGACTCCAATGTCGTTTGCAAACAACTGGGATGTGGACATGCCATCAATGCAACTGTCTCTGCTCATTATGGGCAAGGATCCGGGCAGATCTGGCTGGATGATATGAACTGTTCTGGGAACGAATCTGATCTCTGGACGTGTCCTTCCAGGGGCTGGGGCCAGCACAACTGCAGACACAAAGAGGACGCGGGAGTTCTTTGCTCAGGTCTGTTCTGTGAATGCTCTTGTTTAGACCGGTTACCAGGCAATTTAATTGAGGGGACAGATTTTAAGGAGATTGCTGAGAATGATACTCTCCCTGACTGTCTCTGCCTCCCTTTCCCTTGTGTAACTATCTACCAGGGTCACCATTAGAAAGTCCTCAGCTCCCACCCAGAGGTGCTGGAGATATTGCAAGATTTCCCTAATGTTAGAAGGCTGCATCTCAGGTATCTGAAGGAGACGGTATCATGGAAAGCAGTGACTGAAAAGGATGTAGGGTCCTAGTGGAGAAATAACTGAACATGAGCTCCCAGTGCCGTGTGTGGCAAAAGGGGCTAATGTGAACCTTGGATATATAAACAGGGGAGTAATGAGTAGGATTGGGAACCAAATTGTACTGTTGTATATGGCACTGGTGAGACAGATACTGGAATATTGTCTCCAGTTCTGATGTCCACAAAAATTGGACAGGGAGCAGAGAAGAACCACAAAAGTCATTTGAAGGTTTGAAGAAAAGCCTTACGGTGAGAGATTTAAGATGCTGAATCTGTTTATCTTATCAAAACGATCAAGAGGTAACTTGATTACAGTGCATAAATTCCTTCAAAAGGAGAACATACCACTTACAAAATGGCTTTTTAATCTAATGCAGGAAGGCAGAACAAGAGTCGATGACTGGAAGTTGAAACCAGACAAATTCACATCAGAAATAAGGCCCAGGTTTTTAACAGGGAGGGTGATTAACCATCAGAACAAACTGCCAGGGAAATGGTGCATTCTGCATCTCTTGAAGTCTTCCTGTCTAGACTGGATGCCTTTCTGGAAGCGATGCTTACATCAGACTCAAGTTATTAGGCTCTATGCAGCTGTTTTACAGAAGGTCAAATTATTTGATCTCATGATCCCTGTCATGCTGTCTGGAGCGGCTCACAGCACTGAGTGCCCACCTCAGGGCAGATGGTGAGAAACAAGGCAATACCCCAAACTGGTGGTGTGTCTACAAGTAGATTTCACCAAGACAATAACAGATGTGAACTCCTGGACCAATGTTCCCTCTAATTTTTTACATCCATGTGCGTAATGAATTTTGTTATGTGCATCAGGTGATGTATGGCGGGGTTGGGGCTGAGGGGTTCGGAGCTCAGGGCTGGGGTAGAGGGTGGCGGTGCAAGGGATGAGGGCTCTGGCTGGGGGTGCAGGCTCTGGGGTGCAGCCGGGGATGAGGGGTTTGGGGTTGTGAAGGGGCTCAGGGCTAGGGCAGGGGGTTCGAGTGTGGGGGCTGAGGGCTCTGGCTAGGGGTGAGGGCTCTGTGGTGGGGCTGAAGATGAGGGGCTCATGGTGCAGGACAGGGTCAGGGCTAGGGCAGGGGGTTGGAGTGTGGGGGCTGAGGGCTCTGGCTAGGGGTGAGGGCTCTGGGGTGGGCCCAGGGATGAGGGGATCATTGTGCAGGAGGGGGCTCAGGGCTGGGCAGAGAGTTGGAGTGGGGTGGGGAGTGAGGGCTCCAGCTGGGGGTGTGGGCTATGGGGTGGGGCCGTGGATAAAGGGTTTGGGGTGCAGGCTGCCATGGGGCTGCAGTGGGGAGAGGACTCTCCCCAGCGCTCTCTTGCTGCAGCAGCCTGGGGCCATGGGAGAGGCGCCTATCCAGTCCAGGCCCCTGTGGCTGCGTGCCTATGTGGCCCTTGATAGCTTAGAGGAAACTTAGTCCTGGATCACTATATCTATCTTACCATGAAGTCACAGACAGTCCCCTTAGTCTCTCCAGTCCAATTTGTCACCAGACAAACTGGACTGGATAATTGGTCACTTACACCAAAAATCACACCACATTCAGGTTTCTTCCAGTCCCAAGAGATCAGTCACTTACCCCAGATCAGTTGGTACCCTGGATCTTACACCAAAGACAATGCCTGTAGCCAATCCTGTAATAAACTAAATACAGGTTTATTAACTAGGAAAAAGAAATAAAAGGGTTATTTGCAAAGTTAAAGCAAGCAAACATATACACACAAATGAGTTACCATTTACATCCTAGGAGTGACAGAGTTGTAGTGATCTGTCAATTCCAAATGTCCTTCAGTGCTGACCCAGGGGTAACCCCTTGGGGTAACCCCTTGGGGTTTGGTGTCTCTAGCCCTGTCATAGTTCAAACAGCCAAAAAGATGAAACATCTTCACATCTACTATTTTTATGTCCCTCCTCCAGCCTTCAAAGTGATGGGACGAGGCCTTCTGCATGTACTGCTCCATGGGTGCGATAAGGCCATTAACCAATCCTTTATATTGTGATGATCCTTGATGGCCCATCAAATTTTGATAGTCCTTGGGGATGGAGAGGGGGGATGATTTCTGTGCCTGAGTTCACAAGTTCAGATCCAACATTTTCAAACTTATAAAGCAACATTTACATATTTTCTTGTAGCCTGGACCACAGACATTACAAGTGAGATTAATGCCTGCAGCAACTAACCATCATTTCATAGAGTCTAAACACAAAATACATTCCTACAAGACTAATACCTGTTTTAAGCAAAACTAACACACAGGTGACCTGGCCTGGTCTCCAGCTACAAGATTGTCAGTGCCTGCAGCCTGGGCACGAGCTGGCATCTGGCCTGCCAATGTCACACCCTTTCCGCCCTTAATCTATTACAATCTGTATGTCACTGCTGGTAAATGGTGGCCTTCCAGAGATGCCCACTTTATTTCTAGGGGGCTTGTGGGCTCTAAAAGAGTCTGATTCTTACCTTGCTCCTTCAGAGTAATGCACAGGATTGTTAGCAATCACTGGGATTTCACTTTTCACACCCCAGTTCATTTCAGAATCAGACCATTTAAATTCCCTTTTTGTGCATTTCCTTCTAGAGTTCACAGATCTGAGGCTGGTGAGCGACAGTGACTGTGCTGGGCGACTGGAGGTTTTCTACAATGGGACGTGGGGCAGTGTTTGCTACAATCAGATGTCTGGAGTCACCCCAGCAATTGTCTGCAAACAGCTGAACTGTGGAGATGGAGGGCAGATGGCAAGAGACTTGGAATATGGAGCAGGTTCTGGTCCCACGTGGCTGGACCATGTTACATGCAGTGAGCAGCACAGCTCCCTCTGGCAGTGCCCGTCAGAGCCCTGGAATCCAAAGTCATGTGATAACCGAGCAGAAGAGACCCATATTTCTTGCACTGGTAATTCTGAAACTACCTGCATGTGCACATGTAAACACACATGTACACGATGTGTTCAGTTAATTGAAGGGTTAGGATAGAACATCTTGTTCACATCTCAGTGTAGGCAGATTTCAATTCTCAACACAAGATACAAACATATTTTCATGGTCTTTCATACAAATAAACATTTGTCTGATTAACAACAAACATGGAAGGCTTGTGCAGTTTGCGTCAAGACTGGAATCCCCCACAAGTCTGGGTGCATGTCGGCCTGTGTGTCTGAGTAACAGCTTAATGGCAAACTACTTAGGTATTAAATGACCTAGAGTTCACAATTCAGTTCATACAGTGCTGAAATTAGGGGTTTAAAGTACAGATAAATTCTATTCCCACATCACACACACAACCCAGAGCATTCACCTCGGCTTTTTCTCTCCATAGGAAAAAAAGCAAAATCACCTCAGAACCTTGAATGCCCGAACTCTCCAAGCTGCACAGGTATCTCTGCTTCTCACTGTCTCACTCTTGGTCCCTAAGGACTTTCCCAGCTGCCCCAGTAACATGTGAGGTTTCTGCATTTCCAGACCAGGAGAAGTTACGTGTCATGGGTGGAGAGGACAGATGCTCGGGGAGAGTGGAGGTTTGGTACCGTGGCTCCTGGGGAACAGTTTGTGATGATTCCTGGAACATGGCAGATGCTAACGTTGTGTGTAAACAACTGGGCTGTGGATCTGCTGTATCTGCCCTGGGCGAGGCTGCATTCGGTGAGGGCACGGGTCCCATCTGGGTGGAGAAGTTGAATTGCAGAGGGACAGAGTCATCTCTCTGGGACTGTCCTGCCACGCCCTGGGGTGAGAGTAACTGTGACCATAAGGAAGATGCTGTCGTGAATTGCGCAGGTGAGTGACAGGAGATGTCTCTGCTACATGCTGCAATTTTCAGGGAGGAGGATGGGTCAGCCCACCCTCCTATCCCTTTGGTCCCAGAGCAGGACCTCTCATCTCCTGTGTGCAGGAGCATCATGGAGGCTGTGGGGTGGAACCTTTGTGGGGTCAGATTGGCTCAGGCATCAGCCCACATAGCCCCTGAATCCATCACAGGCCCCAGTGTGTTGGTTTGTGACTAGAGTCCTCATTGCTGCATAGAGCACAAGGGACTTGGGCCCTAAAACACTAACAAACGGACCCTGTGCTGCTGTGAGGGAGTTTGTGGAGGTGACAGCTGGAGACAACCAGGGACTCTCAGAGCTGAGGTTCCCCCTGGGGGAACAAACATGTCACCTCCCCCTCGCCCCAGGCTCCAACTCTCCTCCCTTTCCCTTTGCAGGTCTGACAGAGAGGACAGATTCTCCGAATACCCCAGGTAAAGCATCCCCCTCCTTCCATCAAGGGTTACATTTCCCTGGTGCTGGGTCACAGAGGAGGAGCTGCAAGCTGCAGCCTGAGGGAAGGAGCTCCTTTCCATGGCCTGTGACATCTGAGGGCGAATGACACCTGGGTGGGAGCTGCAGGCGCTGCTGAGCAGGAGGATTCCTGTCTGCTGGCTCCAGCTGACAGGGCAGGGCCCATGATTTAAAGAGCAGCCTGTGAGCTGCCCCCATGGCACATAGACCGTGTCCCAGCCCGTTACCCTGCTGTCCTGGGCCATGCAATGAATGACTGGGAAGCTCCCCGGGGCCGCCCCACGACTCTCACAGGATAATCTCTCCCTATTGCTTGTTCAATTCCATCCAGCTCCTCCGCGCCGCCCTCTGACCGACAGTGGGAGAGTCACGGTGCCCATGATCGTCTGCATTATCCTGGGGGCCCTGCTCTGCCTGGTCTTAATCATCCTGGGGGCGCAGGTGCGAAGTGCCAGGGCACAGCGCAGAGGTGGGTCCTGATTGGTGTCACTGTGTGAAATGCCTCCGCAATAGCGGGGGCGGAGGGGGAGAGCTGCGTGGTGTCAGGGTGAGTGGCCTGTTAACTCCTCTCTCATTTAATATTTCATTAACTGTCTGGCAGTGGAACAGTCCAGCCATGAAATCTGTAATGATACTAGTTAGGGAGCATCACAGATTCAGAGAAGCTGCATCTGTACCGCCCCCCCCCTCCAGTGATCCACTCCAGGAGTGCCCTCTCAGGCCTCCAGCCATCACCTGTCTCTGGGTGGGAACCCCCTGTCCCACTTCCTTCTGGCCAGGGGTTTTTAATACTGCACCCCCCCCCACCTTCCACTGTGATACCCCCAGCAAACCAGTCTGCCTACAGGCCAGCCCCCATGCTGTGCATTCTCCCCAAGGGCTATGAGCAGTGCATTGCCAGCAGTTACACATCACCACCCAACTCTCTCTCAGCAAACTACACCTTATTCCTAGGATAAAAGTATGACAGAGAAAACATTAAAAACCCTTAATCCTCCCCCACACACATGCACACACGCTGTTTTTAGTTCCTGGAGGAGCTGTGGTAACCCTCTCACATGCAGTAGAACATAAACCATTCATAGGTTTAATATCGTGACTCCTAAAGATGCTGCCTGGGGTTGCAGTATCTGTCACAGGGAGGGGTTCTGAATATCATGAGGACAGACATCATGGAAAAGGGACCTAGAGAAATTGGATTGGAAATATTGCTAGGAAAAAAAGTGTATAAAAATAGAGCTGTGGTAAATAGTTGTGAAGAGAGTGATCCAATAGAAAGGACAATCTTAGGAAGGAGAAGTGCGGGAAAGGAACATTATACTGTATTGTACTGAAAGCTGGCACTTGTAGGGGATTTTACTTCTATAAAACACTGTACAAACATTAGCTACCAGCTCCTTGGAAAGAAGATAGAGAACGGGATTGCCATCAGCATACACGTAACATTCACTACTTTGCAGTAATACAATGACTAATCAGACCTCATGGTACAGGGCTTCAGCCAGTCGCCTGCAGGGGTCAGGAAGGAATCTGAGAAGCCCCCATATTTGTGTTTTGTTTTGCTTTGTTTTCTTTCTTGCCCTGCTCTGAAGCATCAGACATTAGCTACAGATCGAGATGTGACACTGGATGGGCTGGACCAGTGCTCTGAGGTGGTTCAGAGAAATGTCTTTCTAAGATATCTGTCTGGTGTGTCATTTCCACATGCTCAGGGTCAAACCAATTGTCAGATTTGGGGTCAGGAAGGAATTTCTCCCCGGTCAGATTGGCAAAAAGGGACCTTGGGGGATTTTCATCTTCCTCTGAACCATGGAGCATGGATCGCCTGCCGGGATTATCTAGGCATCTCTCACCTAGTCAGTTCCCTGCCATTGCGGGGGCCTTGGGCATTGGTGGTACCTTCGTCGCTCCTGATTTCTGCCTGTAGCACACAAGAGCTTATTCTTCTGAGGACTGAAATGGTTTAGTCTAAGTGCATCTTTGGGCTCAAACCTAGGGGTATCTGGGTGAAATGCAGTGGCATGTGTTATACAGGAGGTCAGACTAGATGTTCTAATGGTCCCACCTGGTCTTAAACTCTATGAAAAAAAAAGATGTTATCACCATTTTGCAGATAAACACCAGCGTGGGGGAAGAATTATTTAAACTGCTCCAAAGGGGAATAACCCAGAATAATGGGATGAGATTAAAAAGGGAACATTTAAGATGAATGTGAGGAATCTTCCTGACAGTGAACTAGCCCTGGGAACCATCATCAAAGGGATGTTGTGGAAAGAAACCCTGTCACCTGGCTCATTTAAATTCCAGCAGTGGGGTTCAGGCTCGCACTGGGCCCAGGGGGAGGGGCTGGATGATCCCATAGTGTTTCCCATCTCTGGTTTCAATGACCCTGAGCAAACCCTGACCTTTGTTTTCAGGCTCCAGAAGACCTTTGGATCCCTTCTCTGAGGCCGTGTACGAGGAGATTGATTATAACCTGATGAGAGAAAAGCAGGAGATGTTCAGTCGCTCAGGTGTGTGTGTCTCACTCTTAACAGGGAGCAAATATGAAAGTCACTTTCCATTCTGGGGCCCTGACCCAGAGCTAAATCACTGCAGCTTCAGCCCTGTGAGCTTGTCGTTGGAGCTGGGCACAAGTCTTCATTACAAAATGTTTTGATGAAAAATGCAGATTCAGAGACACCGAAACATTTCACAGATTCATGTCATTTCACCCAATTGTTCCAAATACACAAAACAATTCATTTCATGTCAAGACTTTCAAAGAAAGTTTTTTGTTTTTTCAATTTTACATTACTTTTCCATTAGAAGTTTCCTTTAATTTTATCTTTAAAAACAAACAAACAAACAAATAAAAATTAACTAGTGTCCAAAAGAACACCAAACGGTTTCATTCAACATTAACCTCTTTTTTTTACTTTTGCATTTGCCAAAAATAAAGTCATTTTTAGCTCAATTCAAAACAATGTTGTTGTTTTTTTGCTTTTTTTCTCCAATGGCCAGAGAACAAAACTATGTGGTTTTTTTTGCCAAGCTCTAGCTGTGGGAGCTGGGTCTGTGGTGAGACCAGCAGTTACTCGTGTAGACTGAGGGAGACGGGCTTCCTTCCCACCATACACTGAGTGTCCCAATTCTAGGGACAGTTAATGTCACTCTGCCCGTCCTGAAGCCTTGGAGTGTAACCAGAGAGGGGTCAGGAAAGCGACTGTCTGGGGCCAGGCTAAACTATAATTTGAAAACTGCCCTGGAGCATTGGTGCAGGGGATGTTCTGTGCCCCCCTCCCACCGCAGCCACTGGTCTGCTGGGTCGGCTCCCTCCTGCCCCCGGAGCAGAAAGATCAGCCCAGGAGAGCCTCATGACTTTGAATCACGGCCCTTTTATCCTTTGTGCCATTTTGTCTCAATGTCTGATGGGAACATCCTGCCCAAGGGCTGTGCTATGGTGGGGCTCTGGGAACATGCTCAGGGCATCTCCCAGCATCACTGCCAAGATGGTTACAGTGAATCACAGACTCTGCTCTGGGCTTGTCTTGGCCTAATCTGGAAACACCCTGGAGAGCTGATCGACTGATTCATGGGGGAGGCGGGTATTTACCCTTAAGAAGGAGGAATCCCCTCTGTGGCTGAGGAGGCCAGGACCATTGTGGAACTTCCCTGGAACAGCAGCCAGAGACGTGCCCTTCACTCACCCCAGCATCTTTCAGGTCAGATTGTATCATCCCCTCGGTCACATTGACCACAGTAACATGGAGATTTCTCTTGGGGAGTCTGTGTCAGCCTCTCATCGCTCAGAGTCGCTGTGAGTTACCGTCTCCTGTAGAAGAAGGAATAGACTGAGACTGGAAATCCTGCTCCTGGCCCCGGGTGTGTTCCCAGTCCCACAGTTCTGCTGTTCTCACTCTGATGAATTTCTGGTTCTCGTCTCTCCAGTCTCCTATTCAGATGACTCAGTGACGAAGCTGCAATATTACACCGGGGACAGCGAGGGGGAAAACGATCCCGGATCAGAACAAGGTAACGGGGGAGGGGCAGACTCGGGCTGAGAGACCCAAATCTGGGCAAAGAACAGAATTTCTATCACACTTTCTGCAATCGCAGCCATTTCCCTTCTCACGGTTCCCATTTTACACAGTCGGGTCTAATCCCATTGAACAAGATTTCTGTCAGAATCTCAGGATGGGAACATGTGACCATCTCCTGAGCACAGAGCCCTGGGAGTGGCTCCCAGTGACCTCCCCAGGTGAGGAGCTGGAGGAGACAGGTCAGTCTCTTTTGGTGGAAGGCGTCAGGTCCCAGCAGGGCTCGTCTCTCACCCCCGAGAGAAAGAGAAAGATTGTCCTGTGTTATAATTACAGATGGGCTGTCATAACTATAAAGGGAAGGGTGGCAGCTCTCCTGTGTACAGTGCTATGGAATCCCTCCTAGCCAGAGACTCCAAATCCTTTTACCTGTAAAGGGTTAAGAAGCTCGGGTAACCTGGCTGACACCTGACCCCAAGGACCAATAAGGAGACAAGATACTTTCAAATCTTGGGGGGGGAAAGGCTTTTGTGTGTGCTCTTTGTTTTTAAGGGTGGTTCGCTCTTGGGACTGAGAGGGACCAGACATCAATCCAGGTTCTCCCCATCTTTCTAAACAAGTCTCTCCTATTTCAAACTAGTAAGTAAAAAGACAGGCAAGGCGTCTTAGATTTACTTTGTTTTCTCAACTTGT